GTTATTAAATATTACCAAATGAATTATCTGGTGAAAATGTGTCTGTTAAGATATTGACGTAAATTAATATTATATAAATAGATATAAAAAAGAGAAAGCTGGTTTCTTTTCCTCTTCATATATTGTATTTTAGATTGAAACATAACCACATGGTTGGATTGTATTTAGAAGATATTCAGATTTTGAATGGTTAAGAGATTCATTATAGAAATTTTATCCAGCTTTTGTTGTTCCACCAATTCATAAGAAAAGATCAAGGTCATTTGAAGATGTTTATTTAAATAAAAGGATGATATTTTTATAAAGGTTTCTAAATAGCATATTTAAATCATATGAACTGAAAAGCAATATAATTGTTAAAAACTTTTTGAGTTTAACATAAAATAATGAATTCAAAAAGTTTCAAGAAGTAAAATGTAATTAATTATTAAAGAGTATTACTAAAAGTGCTCCTCCATAAACAGTTTAGAAAATGTTCTCAAAGGAAGGTTAAGTGAATTGTGTTGCACCAATAGAATTATATTAATATGCAAATTAAACTTAGGATTATTTCTATGAAATTGATGGAGTCTATAAAAAAATTAGAGTCTTAAGTAAGAGTTTAAAGGAAATATAATTATAAAACTCTTTAAAGATTTATTGTGTTGGAGAGATATTTGCTTCTCTATTCTAACATTTAAATAAATTAAATTAAATATTACCAACAGGATAAGCATAAGGTTTGGCAGCTACTTTTCTAAATCTAAATAATACTATGATTACATGGGGCAATATTATTGGAAAATAAATAGAATAAACAGAAGAGTATTTAAATAGTTTCTTTAAATATTAACAGCACTATAATTCATCAATTAAATAAATATATGAAACTAGATCTATTATTTAATAAGATTTAGAAAGATTCAAGTCTAAATTACATTATAAAAAGGAACGATTATTTTAATTAGGTGATATTTCAAAATGGGATTTAAGCAAGGATATAAAATTAAATCCATAAGAATTATTATAAAATAAAAAGTTGGCATTCCAATATATGTGTGATTAAGAAACTAAATAAGAAATGGGAATTGAAATGTTAGTTGGATATTACACAAACTAAATATTTTCATAAACTTAATAATTTTTCAAATAACAATAATAAGAATTAGTTGGACATTTTATAAAATTCTGTCAAGTTTAAGCTTTCAATATAACAGATGTAATTTTTTACTTAAATTCAAGCATCATTAATTATGGGCTGATGCTATAACGAATCTATAAAATAATTTATTAATTCAATAGCGGTAGACATAATAAGTAGTTATAGAAAGTATTGGTTGATAAATTAAGAGAATTTATTAAATAATATAATATATTTATTTATTCATTTAAAATAATAAAAATTATTATTTTTTATAATATTTATAATACCTCAATTTCTTTTTTTAATTATTTCCTATAAATCTAAATCAAAAATACAGAACTGAAATTCTTCTTTAGATATTTTACCATTTTAAAATTAATTAATAAATTGAAACACATGACTCATCACAACATCATTTCTACCTTCTGGATACATTTTCCTAAATAATATAAATAATATTTGTTACATTATTATTTTATCTAATTGTTATTTTGTTATTCCTCCTATTTTATTAGGATCATATTTATTAAAAAGATCATCTAACTTTGTATTAAATTTATTCATAGATGCTTTTATACTCAATATTATTTCCACAACTTCAGGATAGAGAAGTGACACATTCTTTAATCTTTTCTTATCTAAATTTATAGTCCATTTAAGAACAGGTAAATTTTTAAGTTAATTATCTTATTCAGTCTGTTCTTAGGACATCAATTGATAATGATAACCTCTATCACCTTTTAATCTGTTTTTGACTCTATTTTACCAATTATTTATATCTTTATTAGTAATATGAGTGGCTTTGAATCCTGCTATTTCATAAAATAAAGAATTAATTTCTTTTGAAGAAGAATTAGGAGTTTGCTTTTTAGCACTTTGAATAAATCTATCAATTATTAAAATAATTTTACTCTTATTTTGTCAATCTTTCAGTATTATCACTTTCAGAATTCATCCCGATCATTAAATAAAGATTTACTTAAACAGTGGTTTTTAAAAATTATTCTTTAAAAGCTGTATAGCTTTATTCTATTTTAACATCGACCTTAATGTCTAATTAATTGATCACAAAAGGATGAGAATATACTTACTCCCAACTTAATCTTTCACTCTCTGAATATTTTATGCATTAAATAATAAAATCATAAATTGGTTCATTTTAATATGCATCTGTGAATTCTTTTGCTATTTAGGTTTCATTATTATGGATGATTGGAACTTAAACTAAATTTGTCTATTACCTGAACCTGACAGACACTCATATAATATTATGCCAATTGACCATATATCACATTTACCAGTATAGATTTAATTTAAAGTTTTCTAAGGAGACTAATAATTTGTTTAATTATTTTCACCTTAGAATCTACTTATCATATATCCATTGCCCAAATCTAAAACATCAAATGCAATTACATACCAGAGTAATAATATTAGTTATTCTTCTTTAAAATTCCTTCTGGTTTAATATCTTAATGTAATACATTCTAATTTATGAGAAAGAGATAACCATCCAATAAATTTTTACAGAGATTAATCACCTACTCCATTTTAAGTTTACCATTTTCTGCTTGAATCATCTCCCTAGAAATAAGTATAACAATACTATCTTAAGCTTGTTTCTGCTAATTCTGTAATCCAATAGACTGAATTCTAAGTCTCTTCAAGAGCTATGCATTTAATAAAATTTTCTGGCTGCATCATTCTTAAGAGTAATTCCTCTTATTTTAAGAGCTCTCTCAAATAGAAATTTTTATTCTGCAACAAATCTGATCTAAATTTCTTTATTGCAATTATTGAATTATCCTTCGAATTTAAACCTTAATAAATCACACTAATCCTTCCTTCTCCCAAAACCTTCTTTTGATCCCACTAAAAATATTATCCTACTTTGCAAAGGTCTTATTACATTAATAAATTAAATTAATTAAAAAAATAATTTAAAAGTATTGAGATTTTTTTAATTTGATAATGTATAAATATTAAATGAATATCATTCTTTTCTATCATAAACTAGAAAATTGATATTGAATTCAATAAATTTTATATTTTTGGAATCTATATAAGTTTTAATTATATTATTTAAAATTTCTCAGACTTCTTCAAAATTTATTATCAAATTCAAGATGCACTCTCTATTATGTTAGTGTATTTTTAATTACTAAAAGAATATAATAAATTAAAATAGGTGATTTTTAAAAGTAAAATATATGATTTTTATAAAAATTTTATCAATTTTATAAATCTTATTACTTATAAAAGCTAGAAGAAAATCGTTATTAATCATATAGGATATGTATTTACCAGTTTTATGCAGCAAAATACATTCATAATTCGAAGGCATCCTTGGATGAATAGGTAATTTTTAAAGTATTTAAATAAACATTTATTGGAAATAATAATATATACCAGTCAAAGTATTCAATTTAGAAATAATAACTGAATTAAACTACTCAATAATCTCTTAGTATTCCAATACTCTTATATATGGGTCCATAGATTAACAAGTAATTTTTACATTTCTTCAATATACATTTTATAAATTTAATAGTAATATTCACACTCAAAATTTATCGTAAAAAGTATACTTTCTGTCTTGAAAATCTAAAATTGATAAAATATTAATGGCAAACTACAAAAAACCATTATAGTAAATATAGAGATTATTTAATAAATTTAAATAATTCATAAAATAGAAACATACAGCATTAATTTTATGATTACTATATATTTTAAATAAAAATTCTTATAAAACTAATATATCATCATTATCATAGACTATGATGTATAATGTAATTTATATAGAAGGAAAAATCACCAAAAATTTTATTTAGTTTTTTTACAATGTAAATATTGTGGAATAAACAAGTTTCTGATAATTAAGATTTATAATATATTCAAAAATGTCATATTCTCAACCTCCTCCTGCCTAAGGATATGGAACAACACCACCACCACCTCCCGCTGGATAACAAGGTATTCTAATCTATAAAATAATTAGGTTAATATCCACCAGGCTAATATCCTCCTCAAGGCTAATATCCACCTCCAGGCTAATATCCACCTCCTGGATAATATCCCCCTCAAGGATAATATCCTCCTTAAGGATAATATCCCCCTCAAGGATAATATCCTCCTCAGGGTTAATATCCTCCTCAAGGATAATACCCTCCTCAAGGATAATATCCTCCTCCAGGTTAATATCCTCCTCAAGGTTAATATCCACCTCCTGGACAATATCCCCCTCAAGGTTAATATCCACCATAAACATATCCTTAATAACCAGGATATTACCCACCAGGAGGATATCCCTAATAAGCCCCAGGCTAATACCCACAAGGCTCTACAACAACTATAATTGAAATACAACAATAACCTGCTTAAAAACCTCCTTAATAATCCCATGGCGGTGGAGCTGTTGTAGGAGCAGCAATTGGAGGAGCTCTTATTGGAGCAGCTTTGGCTGATAATCATCATCACCATCATCATGGTCATGGACCAAATGTTGTTGTTATTGAAAAAGGACGTAAACATCATTGATTTATTGATATTTATGTGCAATTATACAAAGAAAATTACCTATACTTTGCTCCTATCATTATATATATTTTTAAACAATTTGCTTAATATTATCTAATTTGTAAATAAGGATATAATAAAAATAGAATTGAAGAATTTATTGGTTATTATTGAATTTCTTGATGATTATAATTTATATTTTAGAAATACTTAAAAGTTAACTAAACTTATTGTTTTACAAGCAAGAAATGATTAATAATATAATTTAAATTTTAATTATTTAAAAACATATTATGCATAGTATTAATTAATATTATAATTTATAATTGTTGTATAATTATTAATATAATATAAGAGAATGTCTAAAGGTTTTAATCTTAATTTCAAAAATACTAATGTGATGACTTTTGAACAAGAAAATGAATTGTATGCTGGACAAAGCATAAAAGTAAATCATTAAATTATACTCTAGCTAAAATTTAAATAGGGAGAGACATAATTAGAGTTAGAGGTAAAGATAATTAACTCATAACAAGTTAGTTTAAAGTAGGATAGGACGTAGAATGGGCTAAAAAATGTGTTGCTGAAAAATTAGATTGTGGAAGAAATGACTTTGTAATATAGTTTAGAATATATGTAAATAGGATTTGATTTTTGAGGAAAAGATAATGCCAGAATTCTTTTCTTTAAATGATATTCCTAATTTAAAGGATCAATCGTCAATTATAATAAGAATGAAGATATGATTTTATCAATATTATGATTATACAATTAAATGAATTTTATCAAATAATTTATGTATTTACTAAGCTCTACATAATTAGAAATCTAAAATTTGGTCTTTAATAAATTTCTAATTATTCAATCTAAGATTAAAATAGATGTTTGCAAATATATAAATTTCATATCTTTAAATATATTAAACAAGATTATAATGAAAGTGCCAAAAAATTTTATTACCAATTTAAAATTAGTGTAATTCAATATTTTTCCTACTAATTATGTTCCGTATGTAGTATTTAATTCCTTTATCAAAATAAATTGGAATATAGAATGATATAATTATTCATGAAATTAATTAAATTTTTGAAGGAATAACAATCTATTATTTTTTAAATTTAAAATTGATAGATAGAGGAACTTCCTTTTTTATAACAACTTGAAAAAATTATATTAAATAATTTAAAAATATAATTTCTTAATTTAGATGAATACAATTAAACATTAATATTTTCTAATGATTATTTTGAATTTAAGAAATATAGATTTGCTAAAAATAAGAAGATGATATATTTTCTATTCTTAAATCTGAATATACATATTACTTAGAAATCATACCATCATTTTTAAATTAATATCTACTACTCTATTTAATCCATTAGCTTCTCTAATGATGAGCATCCCATCTGAATTAATTTCTTCTAATGTACCTTCACAAACAAATTTTGACTCTTAATTTATAAACACACACTTTTCACCTTTCTTATAAAGTTATTAATTAATATGATTCTAAAATACTTTAAATCCATGTTCATTAAGTAAAAATAAATTTTGCACAATTTTTTCTTTCAATTAATCATATAATTCTTAAACATTAATTTATTTATTGAGAATCTTTTCTATATTTATTCCATTTTCAATATTCCAATCAATATTGATACCTACTCCAATAAATATTACAACATCTTAACCTGTTATTTCTGATTAAACCAATATTCCAGCTTATTTCTTATCAAAAAAATAAATATCATTAAACCATTTGATATGTCCATTCAAATCATATAAATTATTATAAACCTGCAATATAGAGTGGGCAACAATAAGAGGAATAGTATTTATAGATTGAAAATTCTTAAAAAAAGGAAATATTATGGTGCATAATATGTTTCTTTTTGATTAGCTTTCCCATTTTCTATTATATTAGCCTCTTCCATTAGTCTAAAATAATGCCCTTATTGCAGTTATTTAGTCTTTAAAAAGTGTACTATATTGTTAAATGGCATAAGTTTATGTAGAATCGATTTCGTCAAATAAAATATCAACAATTTATTTATTATTCATAATTATATATATTATAATATCTTGAATTATAAGTCAAGTTTTATCATTTATATTTGAACAATTATGATTTCATACTATGATATTTTAGAATAGGCTTTTCAACTGGAAAAACATTATAAGATGGACTGATTGGATTATATCCCTCAAAAGGTTAAGCCTCAGAAACAATTGTTTTTGCTTTTGGTTCTTCACTTAAATAAAACCGTCCATATTTCTATGAAGAAGGCAAATAATCATCTAATTTATTATCGCTTAAATTCATTGGATCTGATCTTAAGAGATATCTTTGGCTATATTTTCCATATCTATTGATGTGAGCTAAATTAAAAAAAATCTATACCTTAAGTTGGAATAGGTTTAACAGGTTTTAAATCTGTAACTTACTAAAATATGAATTATTATATACTTTATGATGATATATTTTTGGTAAAACTAAACTTTAGGACTCCTTTATTAATTATTAATCACTATCTTTTTTTTTACATACTTCAATATCTGCATTCTTCCATGTCATATCAATTTAAACTTTATGATTTTAGTGCTCTCAATTTATATAAATTATATACCTTAATTCAATTTTTTTTAGTAATTCCCTTCGCCATCATACATTATAAATTTTGCCATAGGTCTTGACTTATGTGTATAATTATAAATACTCCAAGAATTTTTGTTTTAAGTTCTTTAAATGTTCCATCTTATTTTGCCTTTTAAATTTCAAACTATTCAATGCATTTCCCACAATTTTTATGTTTATCCAATTTATCCATTATTTAATAAATTATAATAAGATAATAGAAAAATAAAACAAATCTAAACTATTTTGACAAGATTCTTATTCTCCAATCATTTTAATTGATCTAATAATTATTTTATATATGCATAAGGATATCTCATAATTCTATATTTTCTTCAGTTATTACTTATTTTCATATAGTAACCTCTTTCAAAATTGATCATGATGATTAAATATTTCTTTCATTATCTAATAAAGGTTAAATTTGATTTTTTCATGAGGAAATCTTAAGTTTAGTTTTTACTTTTATGTATAGAATTCAATAATGTCTTTAATTTAATATCATAATTTAATTGATGTGGAAATAAATCAAAGCTCTAATTTTACTCGTATTCTTTATGTTTTTTGTTTTTAACTCCTTTTTTTACACACCCCCAACTAGAAATTACACTAAATAAGAGGTTGAAGAAATAAATAAATAAGAAAGGGGTATTACAATCAATAGATTGCCTTAGAAAAGAAATATGCTAATAATAATACATCAATTAATGATAATAATTAGAGTATGAATTAAAATTCATCGATGAATGAAACAGTATCAGAAGAAGAGATAGAAGACATATAATTTGAATTTCCATCAAATGAAAATGGGGAGAAAATATTAAGCGAAGAAGAATTTTTGGATAAAGTAGAAAGAGAGATTATAATAGAAGATTTTATTGAAAGCGATGCTGAAAGAAAAGCTGAACGTAATAATTTTGAGGAATATGAATATTATTATGAATACATTTACGAAGAAACAAATAATTTGAATAATTCAGAAGAAAACTTAAAAACTTTTGAGGATTCTTAAGTTGATTTTATGGAATAATAATAATAAATATTGAAAACAGATTAAAAAGAATAAGAATTATTAATATCTCAAAATGAAAGTTTATTAAATATTTCAGACTTTCTTGTTAAATAGAATTCAGAATATAGTGCTGAAGTTTAAAAAGATTTGTATTAAAATTAGAGTGAGTCTAAAGGATAAACAAATTAAACAAATGCTCAAAGCGAGGAAGAAAGCGAGGAGATATTAATATTATAATATGAAGAGGAAGAATATCAAAATATTGAGGAATAGGATGAACAAAAAGATAATAGTATTTTAGAAGAGGAAGAAGTTATAATATTTGAAGAGAATTAAGGTTATTCCCAAACAATATAAGATGATCTTATTAACAACCATGATGAATAAATTTTTACCTAGCCTATATCATCTCAATTCAAAATAATGAATGAATCTATCAATTAAGAATAATAATAACAGCAATAATAACAATAATAGCAATAATAATAATAATAACAACAATAATAACAATAATAATAGTAATAATAATAATAATAATAACAGTAATAATAATAATAACAATAGCAATAATAATACTAATAATAATAATAATAATAATAATAATAATAATAATAACAATAACAATATCAATAACAATAGTAATAATAATAATAATAACAGCAATAATAACAATAAGATTAACAATAACAATAATAATAATAATAGCAGCAATAATAACAATAACAATAACATTAACAATAATAATAATAACAATAACAATAGTAATAATAATAATAATAACAGCAATAATAAAAATAATAATAATAATAATAATAATAATCATAAACAAATTATTCAGATCAATAAAAAACTTCTTAATAAAAATAAAACTAATTATTCCAATTATATTTTGATTTGATTTGCTTAAAAGATCATGATACTATTGAATAGGAAGATTTGATTCCATCATCTATAAGCATATCAGAAAAATTTATCATGTCATAAGAATACAATCCTATATTATTGGTTCATACTATAATATTGACTCTTCTGCTTATTTTCGTTTCTATAAATGATAATCAAAATATAAAAATAAAAAAAGAACCAATTCAACAAGCAAGCATGTCACAATTATCTGAATTGAATGAATATATGTCCATGATGATTAATAGATTAGAATAATAATATAATTTAATAGCATAAAGTTAAGAACAATTGGCATATTAATTAGAACTTTTAGAATAATGAAGAAGTTTAATAACCCTAAAATTGAATATAAAATTAAGTTCATTTATATATATTAATTCTACAAAAATAAGAAGGTACTAGTGAGTACAAGTTACTCTAAGGCACAAATGTAGGGAAATTACTAAAATCATTCTTCAAGGATTCTAGGGACTTCCTATAGAAATCTATTTCATTCATAGAAGAGGTTTGCTTTAATCAGATCGTTTGGGCGAAAGAAGATTTTGCATAATCTAACAAATTCAAAAGATGATATGGAATTCTATTCTTCCTAATTTGTACCTAATTAATTTTTTCTTAAAAAATTAATTAATTAGTTATTCATGACTTATTTATTATAATAAATAATTAAAAAACACCAATATATTATATGCAATTTCAACCTGTTGATTTTGAGATATTTCTATACAAAAATTTAGAATCAGTGGATTAAGAATTGTAATTATCTTGATTTTAAGTAATTTTTTATCCATTTTTATGATATTTTAAAAAAACAGGAATTTGATTTATAGGAGGTAATTCATTATTGAAATAATCTACAAGAATTTCATCATCACTATGTTGTTGTTTTGTATTCGAAGTTTAAGTATGAAAACTAGTTCTAAAATGAGATAGATTCAAATTTATGTTTCTAGTGCTGATTCTGAAGTTTTCTCTAAAAAAAGGATGTTACAATGCTAATATAGCTTTGATTCTTAATCTTGGGTCTTCTTGCAACATTTCTGACAGTAGATTTTAAGCAGTTAATGGGATATGGATAAGTTATAAGTTTTAAATATTTAATTAACATCTTCTATTCGCTGATAATATTTCATTTTAAGTTTCTCCTTAAAACAAATCTTTTCTCAATAATCTTATAAAATTAAAATTGATTTTACAATTTATAGAATACACATCCAACCGAAAAAATATCACTTTCTAATCCATATTTTCCATTCTTTAAATTAATAATTTCTGGAGCCACAAATCCTGGAGTTCCACATTTTTTTAGTTCTTTATTGGGTTCAAGCTTTACAGAGAGACCAAAATCAACAATCTTCAAATCTATTTTTTTTTCTTAAATATTTAATATAATATTCTCTGGTTTTATATCGCGATGCATTATATTTAGAGAATGTAAATAGGCAATACCCTAGAGCAATTCCCAAAGTATATTCTAAATGATTCTTACATTTAATTAATGTTTTAATTCTTTTAAGTATAAATTTAAACTTTGCCCTTGGCAATACTCCAAAACAATATAGTAGGTTCCATTCCCAACATAGAACTCTTCGAATCGAGGAAGATTTGGATGATTTAACTGTTTAAGGATATTTAATTCATCGAATAGTCCATTCTAATTTATAAACACTTCAGCTGTACCATTTTTTCAACCGAGTTCTAAATTGTCTCTTTAGTAATACATTTTGTGACAAAATTATTATTTTTATCACTCTTTCTAACAACTTAATAAACCTGACTGCTGCTTCCGCTTGCCAAATGTTCTGTGGCTTCATAAAAGTCTTATACTTTAGTGAAAGAAACAAATTTGGAAAGAATCTTCTTTAAAATTAGTAAGTCACTTTGTTTAGCATGAAACCATTTAAATTTTTTTGGTTATGTATAAAAGCCAAAAGCATTTTCTTTAGATGTTAATTACCAACTTATCTCAGAGGACCAATTTAATGGAAAGATGTATTTAGGAGTATCAGGTTTCTTGGGCTATAGAGAGAATTAGATGGAGATTTACATTTGTCAATGTTAGTGTATTATCAGTTAATCTGATCTCATAAATTTGATCAGCTATCACATGTTTACGATAACAGATGATAAGTTCAACCATTTGCATAATAAATAAATTAAATTTCAGAATCTATTATATATATTTGAGATACAATTAGACTTCTTTAACTAATTTAAGAAACTATAAAGAATAAATTTTGTATTACTGTTATACTCCAAGAAAAAATTAATTTAATGTTATGTAATAATTATAAGAGTCTAGTATTTCACATTTTATCTAGTTTCATTGTAGTTATTTCACTGTAAAAATACAAAGAACATTTTGTAAATGCTAAAAACTTAAGGATTACAAAAATAGATTCTAATTTCTACAAAGAAATTTAGATTTTTTTATAATTAATTTATTTCAAAATAATAAGAGGATATTAATATAAAGAATCTTCAATAAACATATTTGATATTGAGTACAATGACATCAAATATCCTTTCATCAATGTCAGTTATGAAGATACGTACTAATTCTTCACTACCAGGTAAAACTCTGATTTTAAATTGAACAATTTCATTAGGTCCTGTAGAGATACTATGATCAATAATCTAATCAAGAATATTAATAAAAGATTACTTTAACGTATTCACTAGAAGATACAATATTATATTATGTAGTGTAATTAACTTAATTTTTATAGTTGACTTGATGACGAGATTCTCTTCCGTCTATGCATCTAAAAGATTAATAAATACATACCTCAAATCATAAGTTGCACTTGGAGGTTAAGGTTCAGCATGAACATTCACTAACCAAGAATAAATTAGTTCTTAAGAGTGAATATCAACTCCATTCAATTTAATTAGATGTTTTCCATCCTATAAAGCCAAAATATTAATGGGAACTAAATTTATTTTTCCTGGTAACATTGTAATTTCAGAATCAAAAGGTTTAACAAATGATATCATTTTATTTGAAGATGACATTTTAATAATACGAGTGATATCACAAGGAAATGTTATTTTAGTACACACTCTTTAACCTAGTGGAACTTCAATATCTATAGTGGATAAACTATAAACTTCTATCTTCCAATTAGCAATTATTTTATGCTAATATTAATCTGAATACAATAGAATGTTGAATATCTTAACACTTTATGGTTCTCCTATTCTAAGATTCAATCTTATTGAATTAAAATCTGATGACCATTCAATCATTACATCAGGATCAGTAATGTGTACATGAGGTTATTATTGTAATGGTTAATTAAATAATCTAGGTATGACAAGTCTAGTTTAACGATTATCTCTTTCATAAAATCTAAGTACATGATCTATTGGTTATTAATGAGGTTCCACTATTATTCGTAATCCATCCATCATTTTACCATCCTATTATAATAAAATAGTTATATGACGAGATTACATATATTTTTTAATATATTCAGGAGTTCTTTCATGATCATCTACTCTATAATCATATTGTCTAAAACTTATAAATTTAAATAATAAAGTAACTTCCTAATTAGGATCTAAAATGAAATAATATTAAGTTTTTCCTTAATTTTCTTTCATTCTAATTAAATCATAATTTTCAGGTTCTGGATATTTATTATTAGTAACCCAATATTTCCATTCAGCTGGATTACCAATCAAGAAGAATTCTTAATATTCTAACATTCTACTTTCTGGATCCTCTATATTTACAGTGAATTATTCTGGTTTTGGACGAGTATTTTTAAAATAAAGTGGTACAATTTCACATTTTCCATAAAATGAATGAACTACTTTTTCATTTTATAAGAATCCTTACATTATAGTTCTTACTAATGATGGTTTTTTTATTTCTTTATATTTTAATACTTCATTTAATGATCTTTATTAACTTTATTTATTTTTAATCATTTCTTATAAATTTGATTATTTGATCTTTTTTATTCTGTCTTATATACTATTTCCATCAAAAGCTTATGCAGGAACTTCCATTCTATTTACTGGTTTTTCAGATACTAATTTCTTTTTCTGAAATCCATTTTATGTATTTTCCAAAGGAACTGTTTTACTCATATCTTATTAACCAATCTTGCCAATATTTTTAATAACAATTTACATTGTCCCTTTAACTTTCTTTGATTAAGGATCCTAGATTTCAACATCAGCCATTATTTATGCATTTTGTTTACCTCCTCTCATTATACCTCTCAATGGTATTCTAATACTACCAAATAAAAATAAACTCTCACTATCCCAAATATCTAAAATTAAATTTTTATTGAATAAATATCTTGCAAAATCCTATTCTAAATTTGCATATCTTTATAAAGATGTTTCAATGTTAAACTTACAACTGAAAACCTCATTATTATATAATAATCTAAGAGGATTACCATTCTCTAGATTATACTTAAAATTTCTTTCATCATTATAATACTCTAAATTTAAAAATGGTGATTTAAAGGTCTATAAATCATAGAATATAATTCCTATTTAAACTGATTTACAAATAGGATATGGTCCTAAAATTTATTTCATGGACACTGGTTATATAACAATTATTTAATCTTTCCTTTCATCTTACATTTCTAGTGCCATCAATCTATTTTCTTAATCCATTGATATTGGATCATCAATTAAAGCAGTAACATCTGTACGAGTTATTGGTTTTAAAGTGGCTGAAGGTACAGGATATGCATAAGAATCTATGGGTTTTATAACTGTATTTTATGGTTTAGCCTCAGCCAAAACAACTGGAGGAGCAGCAGTTCTATCTACTGCTTTTTAATCTTTAATTAATTTCTCTAATCCTTCAAATTATCGAGCTTAAGTAAATTACAATAATCTATTTTCTTCTCTTAATTTTTCAATTGCTTATAAATATTCTTATTATTTTTAAGGATCTGAAGTTTATTAAATTGCCAATCTTCTCAATCGTTCATTTTCCTCTTATAATCTCAATAATTGTTATTCAAAATCCTTCAATTTTACTTATGTACGTATATCTATATCTGATCCTCTAACTTATTATTCTTACTTATTTTAAATCTATTATTAATGAGGTTAGTTTAAATTTAAATTAGGTTATTATTACAACCCTTATTGCTATTAAGGAAATTATTGTTATTATGTTGAAGCGGCACCCATATATAAATCTTGAATTTAAAATCCTCCTCCTGAAAGATTAAGACTTCCTTTCAATTTAATAGATAATTCAGGATTCTAAAATGATACAAGAGGTCTACCATCTAATGTTTTACCTGGTCCTACAATAAAGTCTTCTTCCACAAGTTCAT